ACTTAGCCACAAAAATTCACTCCTGGAACGCTTTATCCTCTTTCATATTATTTTTTCGAATTATATTTGGTTGAAACTGGTAATTCTCTTTCAAATTTCGTTCTGTTGAAACTGATAATTTCCTTTCCAAACGTGTGTTGTTGAAACTGTTAATTCTCTTTCTTTTGTCGTGAGCGGAAACATTAGGAATATTCGTCAAACAAGCCTTAACTTTCCTGTACCTCTACAAAATACGTAACAATTTAATTTGTTCATACTTTATGAATTAACTGCTCAGGAGAGATAAGATTTCAATTATTATTTTGTTATTGCTCTACTTATACCTTCATACTCAGAATAATATATGGGTCACATTTTCCAAATAGTGACACGCTTTCTTACGCACAGCACGAACGGCACGAGCTGTGAGCCGCTGTAGCACTGATAAGCCCTTTAGCTGGGGCAAACTGGGTCAGGGTGACACACACGAAGCAGAAAGTGGATTGCTATTTGAACGAAATCTCCCCCCTATAGCTGAGTGATTATTCTGGATTAAAAGCTTCTCCCTGTTAATATGTAAGGCATTTTGGTTCAATAAATTAGATGCTCATATGTAACAAGTCTCGCATTCATTGCTGCAATACGTTAACAACTCAATATATATCGTATAATGAGTATATTTTGCTGAACTCATTACTGCCTTGCCTTCAAATAAATGCGGTAGGCCTACACGACTCAGTCGTTATTTTTACGTGAGGCACTCCATCAAATTTGCACTCGACACACTCAGAGAAATGAGAGATGCTTTGTCCTAGTAGTTATGAACTTTTTGCTCTCGTGTTTGGCCCGCACTACCCAGCCGTTGTTTTTACGTTCTGCATTTTACCAGTATTGCACTCAGGATATCTAGAGAAATGAGTGAGGCTTTGTCCAAAACTTGCTGCATTTTTTAGCTTAGTGTGGGTCATCCTGACTTAGTTTAGCCGGCACGACCCAGCCGTTGTTTTTACGTAGAAGATTTCATCAATTTTGCACGCGGCAGGTCTGAAAGCGACGCCCGGGGAAGACAAACGAGCTTTCCGGTGCATACAATGCAGCTCGAGCACTCAGAGAAATGAACGAGACATTGTCCAAATTACTATATGCATTATTCCTAGTCTGGGTCATCCTGACCCAGTTCGGCGCGGTAAGCAGGCGCATGCAGTGCCATGTATTCTCTCTGCTCATGCTGCTGGTAAGAAAATGAGTCACTATTTGGACAATATGAACCATGCATTTTCTGAGTGCGAGGTATAAGTAATGCGAGAGCAAAACGCAAATTGCGGTGAATTCTAAAGCTTCGTCATCAGTCTTGATCGGACTCCGGCATAACACATGACACCGCATCACTCATAGTGCCGCAAATAACCCCAGTAATATTACTTAAGAAGTATTCAAAATTTTCATCAAGTATTAGAGCTCGAGTAATTATTTACAAAACAAACCATTTTCCGTTTAGTGGTTGTAAAAGGCTACGAAGTGGATGATTATAGGGACAGTAGTAAAAAAAATCGGTCTTCATGTTTTCCCCCTGAACTGCGAGCAAAGCTGATTCAAGTGTATTGCTTCTATCTTACTTCATTGTTCAAACTGCGTTCGAAGTCACTGATATTTCCCCTAAATAATAAATACGGCGTAAATTTGTACCGTAAAATTTTCAAACTCTGTACAGTCCGAGACAATATTAACACTTATTATATAGCATCGTACAGAGTTCAAGTTTAGTTTCTACAGGTTTTTCCACACTCTGCCGACCATTTTTATTGATCACACCTTGGTAACGCTGAAAAGACTGAGCGACTGAGCTGGAATAATAATTCCCAATTTAGTGAAGATTTTTGTTCTCTTATTCACAATTAACTACACTCCTTTTATCATTTGCCTATCTATCTATAACAATCTAATTATGTGACCTTAAAGAAGTGAGAAGAGCAAGCCGCTATTACCATTGTACAAATATTGTCCAAATATTTATAATATTATTTACAATGTTGAATTTTTCATGAACTTTAAAAATAGCAAGTACTGCACACAAAGTATTCTGCGAAGTCATTTGACTGCGAAAAGTATTCAACCTCAGAGAATTTAAGTGACATTTATCTTTAATTCAAGCTCATAGAAGATCAGAAAATATAAGGATTTGTTATCAAACGGTATACAATTTGAATTCATCAATCCATAACTTTTCATACACCATAATAGAATTTAGTAGAAACATTGATAAAATTCGCAGCTCAAACTATCTACTTTAAACATAAAGTCGACTAATGTATTGGGCTTGAGAATTCGTAGTTCGAAGCTTTTAAATTCATATATGCTGAAAAATTCATTCATTCCATTCCATTTCAGCGCAGTACCTGAAGTTCTCTTTGAATTACGTGACTTGGCTGCTGAATGAAAGGATGCCACTTCACTAACTCACTATTTTGGATCACTCTTCCGTCATTTCATCGCAACGAAAGAAACGCGATCGATGACTTAATGAGCCAAAATGCAATACGTCGAGCCGTAAAGAAATACTGAATTTTCGTCTGAATATCCTAGAGTTCTCTTTAATGCGCAATCCGGTATTTAGGAATAGATTTTTCCAGCGCTCTTATATTCATGGAGGCACTCTGACAAATGACTCTGCGGCCTGAGCACACCGCACTCAGAGAAATGAGTGAGATCTTGTCCAAATAGCGATTCACTTCTAGACTTTTTTGGTTCAATTTGACCTAATTTAACTCGAAAAAAATTGCATAGCAGTGCTACGTGCAGGAAGTGCGTCACTATTTGGACAATATTGCCCATCTATTTTTCTGAGTGCCTCAGATCGATGCTCGCCAATGGGTCTCGTGAGTTCAATTGATGACATGCAGAGCTTGCATTTCTATTAAATGAAGCCGCGTATAAAAAGAACCCTGCTGAAGATCAGCAACACGTGAGAAATCTCAGTGAATTGAGCACTCAGAGAAATTAATGAGAGTTTGTTCAATGACGATGTACCTCTTTTTCTCGTGTGCGCCACCCTAACCCTGTTGGACCAGGAAAAATGACGTATTTGTACACTTTCTGCTCGTGCTACGTGGAGAAAGCGTGTCACAACAAGGACAGTATGGCATACTCCTTTTTCTGAGTGTAATGGGCCTGATTTTTAGACATCGATATTCATCAGTTTAAATGTGGCCCAAAACCTAATGAAGGCGCTTAGCACTCTGTACAATCTGTTTTTTTTGGAGAAAAATGTAAAAAAGTTCTTAGAAGGTCAACCACAACATAAGTTATTACGATGATAAAAATTGTTTTTAGAAAATTATTCAATAGATTAGACACTTCTTAGACACTTCATTACGCTCCGCGTTGCAAACTACTGGGGATATGGTGTTCCAGTAGCTCATAATTCTTTTCTTGCAATTTTTGGGAATCGTTTTTTCTTCAGAATAAAAAGTTGGAGATTTTTCATGAGATTCACTCAACCCAAAATGCAAAAGCAGCGTATCGAAAATCAGCTGGATAATAAACATTAATTATTAATTCCAATCACCAGAAACAGAATTAAATATGGCTTTATATTTTATTGCGATTGAGTAATTGAGAAATTTAATTTTTATAAAAAATTCATATCTAGATACCCATCACAGCCATTGTTAAAAATAAAATCTTGAACACAGTTTCTTATCGCTAGCTATGACTGGGTAAGCGTCGCTCTCCTAACTGCTTCAATTGTCTCATAAGGCGAACTTTAACTGCTCCAAATCTCATTACTGCCTGGAAACCCAGAATTGACTTTTGAGATGGCAAAAATTCGGGATATTCGATGAAGATAACAGTCTGGAAGCTTTCAGAGACTTTTCATGTGCTTCGTGGCCTGAACTAAAATAACACTTAAAATGCAAATGCAAAAACTATCAAAGAAATCATTACGATTTCAAGCATACTTGTATGCAGTAAAATTTTGATATATTTTCAATAAATTTTTTTAATTTCTATCGAATTCAACAATGAAGAAAAATTGATTTAAAAATTTCTTGTGAATACTCAATTACTGAAGGTGGATCTCAAAAATTTTATATTTTAACTTAGATTTTGTCTATATTGATCCTATTCTAATTTATTACTGCAGTGAAACAGTGCGTTCGATTTTTTTGTATAGAATGTGGTAGTTCGATTGTTCTGTACATTCACAATCTCTTTATTTGACAAGTTATTACAAGAATTTCCATATCGCAACTGTAAACAAATGAAAATATATACGAAGCACGTAATTTTTTTAGCAGTTTACGGCGCATGCACATCTTTCAAGTGCTCTTTTTAGCGTAATCACCGCGCAACGAAGCTAATAAAAATACAAGGAACTGAGTAGCCAAATTTTTGCACCACACAGTTGTGTTGCAAGTCCCTTTTTGCGCATTATAGGTTCCTTAAGCTGGCCGGCTCAGTGTTACACGAGCTCTGTTCAGGTGAGGTGGTGTGACACCGTGTTCTGCAACCCTGCTCGATCTTTCTGAAATTATAACTTGCGAGACGTCCGATGGGAGTGAGTTAATTTTCTAAACACCGGTTCAAGTATTTGAAAAGATTCAATAATATTTATTTTAATTGAAAGATGTAATACAAAAAGGCGGCAAAAATGTATGCAGTTTAACAGTCGCTGTAACAATATGTGAAAATTGTCATCCATTTGACTAATGGGAAAACTTAAGTCGAGCTCACATAAACTAGATTAAAGGCAGAATTTTTATACTGGTCGGAAGTATCAGACAATCAAAATTAATTTAACGTTTCTTTAGGCGCACCCAATTTACACCTTTCTGCATAGATACTTAAATACTGGTAGTATTTACCGTAGACTATAAAATGAAAACCTAAGCCTCTAACTCGCACGACCGAAAAAATAATTTCATGGCAATCTTGAAGCATTTTGCGAAATAAAATTGAAATCAAATTTGTTTGCTATCTTTATTGTTATGTTATTTCAGTGCATTTATGGGTTGGTTGTCTATCAGGAGTAAAATTGATTGATGAACATCTAGATTATATAGTGAAAAGATCAATTAGAAAAAATAGTCTGGATAAACACGTCTCTAATTGGTTACATCGTAGAAAAATTAAGTAAACTCTTCAAAGTTTCAAATGTAAAACAAATATATGATTCAAATCAAAACTCTTATATATCCAAGAGTGATGAATTGAACGTGAATATAAGTAATTATAACAACTAATACATCGCTCTAGACTCTTTATTGCTTAAAAAATAAGTGTTACAAAAATGAAGCCCAAAATGAGAAAAATTTCGACATTCGCAATGCTGCAGATGCTTCAACTGTGCTGCTTGGTAGGCATAGCCAGGCCTACTTTGGCCATCACAGCATTTGGCATTGAAGGTAAGTTGAGTGGAAAACTTCATCATTGAGCGTCATTTTGAGTTGAGTTTTTTTCTAAACTAATAAAAATCCATCACAACCATCTCGGCTTGTGAGCCTTTTTAAAGCCAATTTTGAGATGGAGGAAAAAGATTTGCAAGGTTTGGTCTTTGGTGTCTGAATTTTGTTAAGTGTTGACCGAATTCCCTTTACAAAATTATTACGTTTTTCTTAGTTTTGTCTCTAAAAATTTTTCAAATAAGATGAACTGAGTCATAAAGATTTATTTATAATAGTTCCTCATTTACCCGAAAAACAGTTGAATATATAATCTCAGAATTATAGAACGTCACAGGACCTGAACGATTAATTCAGCAACTGGATTCTCAATTTTAAAATGACTGATTCCATCGAACAGGAGCTACGACAAATTATGCAGACTCGGGTGACGAGTGAACAGAAAAAGTTTTATTGATTACACTTGCTTTGACAGCTGCCAACTGGTTTTATTTTTTATTTTTATCAAGTGCTTTTTAGGAATTGGGAAATATTGGTGCGGATGAGAACTATGAAAATTATTTCCAAAATATGGTTATAAATCATGTTCTTCTGCATTAAATTACCCCTATTAAATAGACTCGCACGATGAGGAGTAAAATCACAATGTTAAGCTTCATTATGAATTACTGCTTCAGGCTGCACGCCAGTTAGACGCAACGATGTGAAGCTTTTTCTTTAGTTATTACTTCAGACTGCACGCCAGTTAGACGCTACAATGTGAAGCTTTTTTAGTTACTGCTTCAGGCTGCATTCCAGTTAGACGCAATAATGTGAAACTTCTTCTTTACTAACTGCTTCTGGCTGCACGCCAGTTGGACGCACTAATGTGAAGCTTTTTCTATAGTTATTACTTCAGACTGCACGCTAGTTAGACGCTACAATGTGAAGCATTTTTAGTTACTGCTTCAGGCTGCATTCCAGTTAGAAGCAATAATGTGAAACTCCTTCATTACCTACTTCTTTTGGCTGCACGTCAGCTAGACGCAAGAATGTGAAGTTTTTCTTTAGTTACAAATTTCGGTTTACGTCAGTCAGTGGTAACGATGTGAAGCAAGAAATCAATACTGGACTACGGAGTGTGCTCGACAGAGCGCAAAATCTTAAGGATTAGTTGTATGTTGATTGTTACTTCAAAATGTTATTGTGTAAGTTATTTTTTAAAGATTTTCTCAATCTGCCATTTACAAGGTATTTGAAAATCTTTTCATCGAATCATAATGAATTTGTGTCACCATTTAATTCATTTGTAATCATTTTAACAGAAAATTTTTGAATGAAATGTTCTTTCATTATAACACAAACTTTCAAATGGATAAAATTTACTTTTAAGAATCACTCAAATTTTGCCGGTGGTAGCAAAATTGGGAACATTATTTGCTCCGATCAACTTTGTTTCGTTTTAGATTTTTTATTCACTCATTTGAAATTTATTTATGGTGATGTTATTTCAGAAATGAATATGCATAGGATTAATAGCCATGCAAAATTTATTTTCATATCTTTTGAATATAGGGTCGATTTTTATCGTTTAAATTAATTAAATTTTATCGTTTCATGACCTATGCCAACAAGACATAGATAATTTCCTCGAAAGGCTAATATTTATAGTACAGGTTTTTTGGGACTTTCTTTGCAATTTCATGATTTATCTGAGTTGTGATCTTCTGCTGGGTTTTTTGCATCTTTTAAGGATGAACAAGATTTTCATTGACGCCCGATAATAATGGAGAAATGATTAAATGAAATTAAAATGAAAATGTGGAGGTAGAAATCATTCTAGGATTAATGTCTTCCCGAGGAAACCTATTGCAAGACTAAGATATTGAAGCTCAGATAATTTTTATATTTTTTAACACAAGAAAAAAGTTGAAAGTAAATGTTGAGAGAAATTCTTCACAACATATATAATTTGATCGTTTGAAGGACAATACACGGAAACCTACAAATAATTTGAGTTTTTGAGCTTGTGAAATTAATGCAAATGGAGTATATGACCAACCTTGAAAAAAAGAAAGCCAAATCTGTCCAAAAATTGCCAAATTAACCTAGAAATATGATGTAAAATAAATAAGCAATTGTGTAGAGGCTGCACATATTATTTTATTTTTTGTGACGAAGACAAAATTTCGAGATTAAAGAAGAATTTAATTTGAATTATAATTTTAGTAATTTAATCCCTATTGATTTTGAAGTAGAGGCAAAAAAATAAGTTAGATGCAAGCTCCAGTAAAAAACTATTTAATGTCAGCAAACAAATATTTCTACAACATATCGGAAGTTTGTATGACCCCCGGAGCAGTTCCGAATCATGGCTGAGTAAATTTGACGAGCAAACACCCGCGTTGCTGGTCGCAAACGTCCGCTGTAAATTAGGATTTTAATTAGAGCGAGTACATTGATCGTTGGCAAGGGAACCAATATTCCAGTCATTTCCCTCTCTTCTGTCAATAAATTAATTTATATGCAACTAAAAGGGGATGATTTTCCAATATCATCTGATTTAGATTCCTCATATAGAGCAGAAATGTTTAATAACTGTCGTTTCCCCCACAGGGGTAAGCTAATTTGAATGAAGGCTATGTCAATTCGAGGCATCGCATATTAATAATTAAATATTTAATTTAGTATTCAGTGTCGACGGTCGAGGTATGTTTATTTGTACGGGAAAATCGAGGGTGAATTTCGTTAAGTTTCATAAATTCTTATTTGCCTATAAAATTTTTACTTTAAATGATGTCTACATTCGTTTGAGAACTATTGAAATGACTTTTTATCATGATGATATTTGCGTAACGATCTTTAAATTATAATAGGTTGAATCGCATACTTTTTTCACGCCAATAAAAATACTTTTGTGTCTAATGCAAACTTGTGTTTAGTGCCAATAAAGTTCAAATTCTTGGGTTTAGTGTAAATAAAGTTTGGCATTCATTACAACGTCCAAAATTTTTGAGCTGCCTATTTGCCCCATATTTTCCTCCATCTTGCTTCAATTCAGTAGCATATAGAGCGCAACATTTTTTTGTTGCCTGATAAATTATTTTCCACAGTTTTTGTTGTTGAAGAAGATTTTCGATTATTATTTAGTACCAAAAATTTTTGACATAGTCTATTAATCTAAGAAACCATAATACAAACCGAGTGAAAAGTTTATTTATAGTATAACATAATATAATATAATATAATATAATATAATATAATATAATATAATATAATATAATATAATATAATATAATATAAACAAAACTTCGTAACTTTTTGTACTTCCGACAAAAAAGTTACGTGTTACGTAAGTATACTCTAATTTTGGCATTATCAAAACATTCGTACGTAAGACTTAGCTAAAAGCGTACTATCAAAACCATCTGGCCAACTGACCAATCAGAGGCTTTGGATTTGTTTACATTCTGTGAACTTCGATGGCGGGAATCGATTCTTTCTATGGTATCGACTATCGAATGCTGTCTGTCGGTATTGCTCCTTGTTGGCCCAGAAAAAGCCATTCTAAAATAGTTGTGAACTCTTTTTAATAAACAGCGTGAGTAGAAGAAGAAATCTGTGTACGGAGCTAAAAATTATGGTTGGCAGAGATATAAAGTACCGACTAGAAGGAATGAATGATGAGAGTTGGGCGCGAAAACTTTGTTTTCGCGCTTGTAAAATATAACGTAATATGCATTTGCTTGTAAAATATAACGTAATATGCATTTGCTTGTAAAATATAACGTAATATGCATTTGCTTGTAAAATATAACGTAAAAGGAAAACAAAATCAGTTTCTGGCATTAACCTAATTGAATTTTTTTCCAATAGCACTGTTTAGCACGATGTCATATTCTGATCGTGCAAATGTTGCACGATCAAGTAGAGGAGCCATCACAAGTAGAGCCATCATTCTATGCGTGTATAATCCGCGCTGTCGGATTATTGACAAAATTCTATCACAAGTCAAGATGTTGCTACTTGCTAGTAAATCTTAATAGTTTCCAATCGCTTCAGCAGACACTCTAAACTTGTGGGACCTTCACTTACGACATCTCCGAGCAGGCGTACAGTTACGTTACGTATCTTCCCGCGCAAATGTTTTGATAATACCACCTCTAGAGTGACGTCATCAAGTCAGCACTTACGCCACTCGTAAGTCGATTTTGCGTACTTACGACGTTTTGATAATACGGCCCCAGATTCCTTGACGTAACCCCATAAGAAATAGTCACGTGAGATCAGGTGTTCTCGGTGCCCAGAAGTGTAGAGCCAGATCTTCATTTCCTATGCGTCCAACCCAACGCTCGGGAAATAACTTATTCAAAAATGTTTAGGAAATCAAGATGCCCAATTCCGCGTTTGAATAGGTTGAAAAATTTAATATTTCTCTTTTAATATTGGTGTAAGAATTATTCATTTTAAATTTATACATAAATAAGAAAGAATTTATTAAATTGGGTCAATGATTTAGAATACCCCTAATCACTTTTCATGTATCATTCATCACTATAGATGTAGTAATCATCACTATTGACGGAATATTCATCATGCTACCTGTATATTACTGAGATTAAACCCAGGAATTCCAGATTACACTTATTATGAGATCTGAGACTCAAAACAATCGTACGATTCAATAAATCAAATTTCAATTCCAAAGATAATCTTTGAAAATATCTAAAAGATAGCCCACGAATCTTCAAGACCTAAGGATGCTCGCCAGTCTGTACGTTTCCGGAGGCAATTCCGGCAGACGGAATTCCTCGGCGGCCATTTTTTGTCTAAGGCTGACATAAAGTCCTAGGGCGGCATAAAGTACTAGGGCGGCATAAAGTCCTAGGGCGGCATAAAGTCCTAGGGCGGCATAAAGTACTAGGGCGGCATAAAGTCCTAGGGCGGCATAAAGTACTAGGGCGGCATAAAGTCCTAGGGCGGCATAAAGTCCTAGGGTGGCATAGCGTCCTAGAGCGGCATAA